TTGCTTTCTTACAAAACATCAACGTTGAAGGAGAAGAGCTTTTCTCCAAATAAGAGCAAGCCTTTAGGTCCATCCTACTAGCGATGGCCTCCAACCTACTAGCGATGGCCTCCAACCTAAGAGCGATGGCCTCCACCCTACTAGCGATGGCACTTTACTTGCAGAAGGGGCTTGTTTCAGACGTTTCTGCAGTACATTGAAGATAGCCGAAGGTGGAGTCCAGTCGAACAGTTCAGTCCCATGAGCAGGATTCACCTCAATCCGAGGCCACCAACTGCACGACACAGGTCGGACTCTTGTCAGAAACTCCTGTCGTATGATCTCAGCAACACGGCCTCGCTCTGGATAGCTAGGTCTCACTGCCCAGCCAAAAACACAAGAGCCAGCACCCTGATGGTAAAGAGCTCACACTCGAGCACAGTGCACAAAGTCCGGTATTAAAGCGACGAAATGGCTTGACCAACAATCGAGGCGAATTGAATGGCACACTCGTTCCATGAATAGCCAAAGGCAATGGCCTCAGCAAGTGACCGAGCCCAGGCATATTGGCTGTCCCCTGTTGCCGAAGCACGCCTCAGAGGGATAAAGCTCAGAACCATCTCCATCCAAGAAATGCCAACATGTGCATGTTCAAGCTGCAGTGCATGCCGTGTCACGAAGACGAGCTTTCTCAATGTCAAACTGCCACGAATCATCTACACGCCAATTAGCCATAATGGCTGAGAAGTCCCAAGCCCTCCTCATTGGGTGCGGTTCCAGGAACACAAGAGTTAAAGTCTTTACGGTGCTTCTGCAGTGCAAAAGAGAGGCGAAGAAAGTCCGTCAAAGAGGACATCTCATCTTGACGTGAAAGTATGGCTTGTTCCCACTCTTGGGTGAGAGCAGGAAGGCATACATCCTTGCTCCTAGTAGCTTCTTGCTCCTAGTAGTGATGCCAGGAGCCCCTAGTAGCTTATTGTTCCTAGTAGTACGGCCAGGAGCCCCTAGTAGCGTCCTTGCTCCTAGTAGCAGGGAGGCATACATCATCAGCCTCTTTGTCAGTGGCCGCATTTCCAAGGCCATGATGACACAACAAGTCTGGCAAGGAACGAAGGTCATCGTGGCCCTTAATCTTGACTGGGCTATTACACTCAAGGTGATCAACCTGCTGGATGCGTTGGCAGAGTAGAGGTTGAGGGTGCTTATGAACACCAACTCCCTGAGTACTCACAGCATTATGAAAAGTGGAAATAGCACTACTGCTGTCGGCATGTAAAATGGCATGAGCAAACAGTTCAGAAGCACGAACGATGGCCCGAAGTTCTACATATACTCATTAGGACAAAGTTCCGGCAACACCACATGGAAAGAGTGGGTGGATGAAGACCGGTTTCGTTGAATCTCTGCGCATACCATATGCATTCTGAATCTGAGCGGCTAGAATCAATGACAACACTATAGCCTGCATAGCACAGTGTAGGCAAAGTGGGATGTTGACAACTACCATCAGTATAGACATGAAGTCTCGGCAGAAACACAAAACTGGACACCCTCTAAAAGCAGACTTGGTGGAGGATGCTCTTGTAAAGCAAACTGAAACGTCGTAAAGCAAAATTCATCATCAGACTTGTCAAAGATTACAGGCATCTCAGGCCACAAACAATCTTCGTCCTCAAGTGAGGAGAGAGGCTGCTGGAAGGGGGCACGAACTTCCTGTGTGGCAGTGCATGTGAAGAACCTATGATACTTAGTGTCTTCCTTCCCGCACCATTGACAGTCGGGGGTCACATATTGATCCCAAATGGCCTGCTGCACACGAATCTACTAGCGATGGCCTCCACCCTAATAGCGATGGCCTCCAGCGATGGCCTCCAACCTAAGAGCAAGCCTTTAGGCCCATCCCCTGAAGCTAGCCCAGAAGGTCATGCTGAACGACGGGCTGAACGTCACTTTTTGAAAGCTTCAAACCCATTTTATCGAAAGTACGCCTTTGAGACCAGCCAGCTGCCAAAGGCCTGCGCCTAATGTAGCTTTCTGAGCAGAAAGAACTTGCAGACCACTTCTGAGCCACCTGCCCGGATGCTTTCTAGTACCGCTGCAACCAAGCCTTTCAAGCTTTTGGGCCAACCCGACCCCCGAATTGCTCCGGCTTCACCTGGCTCCACGATCAATTATGATTTGCTGAAGCTTTGGCGTGCTATCCCTGAGATCTGCAGATTGTATGCTGTTTCTGCCAGGATGGAGTGACGCTTAATCCTGTGACAGGCTTTGGAGAATCTTTTCCGGAAGAAAGTATGTGACATTAGCAACGTGTCAAAATCCTCGAGACTGTTTCTTTTATACTTGTCAGGTATCATTAGCGGAGTTGCCAGTGAGGCCAATGAGAACTGAATCCAAGCGTTGTTGTTGTGGGCACAAGCGGTTCGAACACGTTGTTTGGGCTTTGCCTTTGTTGTTTCGTTCCCTGGGCCAGGCTTCTCCTCGAGACTTGTATTGCATCTCTCTTTGCCGCGGCCCAAAGGATTCCATCCCTTCAGGTCAATCCTTTTTGGAGCGAAGGCCATCGCTAGTAGTAACAAGATGCAACAAGGGCATCGCTGCTAGTAGCAAGAAGCTACTAGTAGCTCCTGGCATTTCTACAAGGAGCAAGGATGCTACTAGTTGGAGGCCATCGCCACCGCTATGTTTTTGTTTTGCACCTAGGTGCTCCGGCTGTCTCACCTGAAGGATCCTCCTTAGGCCAGCTTGTTGAGCCAAGACTGCCAAGACCAAGATGGCATGCCAACAAAGGAGCCTTTGCAGCCAAAGTTTATCCAGCTCAGATTTTGCTTCATGACAACGGCTGACAGGCTTGATGCCTTTTGCGAAATGCAGCATGTCGTTTGCACCTCAGCTAACAGGCGTGAATGGGTCCCAAGGCATGTGCGCTTTGCGCAAGCAGCTTTGTTGCAACAGAGCTTGCGGTGCTTTTGATAGTG